CGGATTACTATGCGTAATTCAATTCAAAAATCTGCAATATTGCAGATTTGAAAAAACAATTGCAGTACCATCCTTAGGAATAGCTTCCCATTTGGGTTAACCCATTGGCTAGTTAGTATATAATATATTAAGTACTGATCTTTGCATTATGTCTATAACGTAAGTGAGAAAAATTGTTTATGTCTTATTTTACTACTGAATAATTTAAATACACATTTATTATAAAATTAATCTGCAATAAAATTGAAAGGTTTCTTTATCCTAAAATACTTACATGGATCGTGTTACTTGCCCGTATATCAAAAAGATAGTACTATTTGCGGAAGAGTCTGCACTTGTACTACTGGTTATACAAAACATCACATATTGTATGAAAAAAATATGGAAAGAAAACCCTGCCTTGTTAGAAGTTGTGATAAGCTTATAGATTCTACTATAGGATGTTATTCTGACCATTCAGGTAGATTTCATTCGCTAAATTATTGGATGAGGCAGAAGTATGGAGTTAGTATTTCAGATCTACCTAAATAAGTGTAGCCTTCTGCAGAATTATATTATATAAAATGGCAGAAGGCTACACATACCTGATTTGTAATTGAATAGTATTAGCACATATCGAATAAGTCCCAAATATCTTCTGTGATTTGTGTGTTATCCAGTTTGCTAGAACTAGTAAAATTATCTAATATTAATTCATCAGGTGGGAGTTTACTATATCCATATCAGATATCTTCCCCATTTACCCAACAAATTTCTTCACTCGTTTGATATGAAGGTAATTTAGAAGCATCATTAGTATTGAATGATCCATCTAGATGGTAATATCTGTGACTCCTATCTATAGCCTTAAATTTCAACCCATAAGTTGCATGTAATGCTAAATTCAGTAAACCAAGTTTTGCTCAATCTGTTTTTAATCCTGATTTTTTAGCTCTGCGTGATGCATCTGTATTATCAAATACCCGAGCCATTCTGGAAAATAAATCATGAAGATATAATAATGATTCAGGAGAATTCAGATGTATCTTAACTTCATCAGATTTATATCTGACTCTATTATCAATATCTCTAGCTGGTGTGCAAAACTTTAATAATTCTAGGCAAATTTTATGCCTTTCAGCTCGAGATGCTGTTGTAAGTCTATTTTCTCTGTAATTTTTACGGGAAATAGCCTTAATAGCCATTTTATTATTAGTACCAGCATCTCATAGTTGCTTATAAGCTCTAAACCATTTCATGTGATTGTAATTCCTATATTTTGAGATGGTCTTCGGTTAGTAATTCAGGTAGAACTCCATAGCAATCCATAATATGATACTGGTCTAAAGAGCGCATCTCTTCTAAAGTCTTCTTTGGTTTATTCTCCAATAATTCAGCAGTCTCATGATTGACAATAAAAGCATTAGATATATCTGATATCTCCTCTGCTTTAATAATAAAAGAACTCACCTTTACTATTTGGGATAGCAATATCGTAGTATCTTCAGGTTTAGGAACGAATTCTATGATAGAAACTACTATACCTACCTTTCGAAGAAATCAACCATCCTTCAACTAAATAAATGTCAGGAACAGAAAATTTTCAACATACAATCAACGACCAAAATTATATGAACAATTTTTTTTTACCAAAATTAGGCAGATTATCATATAATCACAAGATATAAACATTACATTTTTTTATTTATTTATATGATAAACATGAACATAAAATTTTTTAGCTATTTCGCTTTTAGTTAAAGCTTATAAAGGCACTCACCCCAAAAACCCGTGGTGCTATTATTTATGGTAAAAAATATGGACAATCAGGTCACACTATTGCTAAAATTTGGGGTGTAGTAAAATAGCTGTTTATAATACACTTAAACGTCTTCATCAAACTGGTTTTTCTACACCAAAAAAACAAACTGGCTGCCCACTACTCCTTAATACACCATCTTAACAAGAGCTTAAAGCTTTTGTTCAAGAAAATGGTGAAAATCATCAATTTCAACAAGGATGTCAAGGAAAAGTATGGCATGAACCAGGAGAAGAATTGAATCCTGATTGCATTTCAGTTACTGTAAAACACAATCTAAGCAAAATGTTTTGGGGATGTTTTTCTTGGAATAGACTTGGACCAATTGTTCCTTTAAATGGTTCAGTTACTGGTAAAACACATGCTGAAATTATTCAAAAATATGTTGTTCCTACTTTGCAGAAGTATTTTCCTCATGATAATGGAATTTTCCAAGAAAATAATGCTACACCGCATCGTTCAAAAGTTGTTGCAGCTGCTCGCAAAAGTGCTGAAATTGTGATGCTTCCTTGGCACACCCAAAGTCTGGACTTAAACCCAATCAAAAATTTTAGGCAGAAATTAAAATAATGGTTCGACATTGTACTCCCTAATCATTTAATATCTGAGAGCTTGAAAAATATGTTAAAAATGCTTGGAAAGATATTCGTCCAGAATATTACAAAAAATTAATTGATAGCATGCCGCAGAGGATCAATACAGTTATTACCGCAAATGAAAATAGAATTAAATATTAGTATTGAGATTTTTTTTATAAAAATCAATAAATAAAAATAAAATAAATAAAATTTACCTTTTGTTTTATTTCTACTTTATTTTATTTATATAAATTTTTTGATTTAAAAAGTGTCCGCATAATTTTAGTTGTTGACTGTATATGCTACCCACAATCGAATAGTTGACACATCTTTATTCTGGATAATAGAATCTACATCTGGAAAAACCTCTCTATTCTAAAGTTCACAAGAGAGGCATTCACGTTTAGCCTTCAGTAACCATTGAAATAATCCTTTTTTTGTAATAGAAACATTAGATGATCTTTGTTTGATATAGCTAAGGTTGCTGGACGAAATCAAGAGTTTAAACAGACGTCCAAATGATAAAAGTAAAACTTGGTTAAATTATATTAAAACCTTATTAAAAAATTTGCGAAATTTGAAAAAAGGTAAAACTATATCAAAGCTTATAAAAATGGCGAAACTATATCAAACACTTAGTAAAAATTTAGCAAAACTAAAGGTTTTACCGTTTTGCTAAATCCAAAATGAGTTTAGACAAACAACCTTAGATATAGCATACATAATTCTTAATGCATCACATACGGAATAATATCTAATTCGTTTCAGCATTCGTTTCTATATAACTATTAAAGATACAAAATGCTTGTTCAAACTTAGGATTAATACAAGATACTTCTATTTTTAAAGTGCTGGTATAAGCAACTAGATCAATCTCTTTTTATGATTCTTCTACGTTGCTGAAATCTTGAGCTTTTTCTATTAGATCAGATTTACCGTGATATTCCTTGATCCCTAGTTCTGGAAATTCAGTCTTGAGAGCATGAACAATTCCTTGTAGATCTTTTCTAAGATGACAAATAAGTGATGCACTTTTATGATTCTCAAAAGGTAACAAGGAAGTCTGTTTGGCCTAATCCCAGAGTTCGACTAATATAGATTTTTTATTAGAAGCTAGGAGGAATGTTTTATCTTTCTGAGGTTGGTAAGTATTGTGGATAATAGAGAATGGTTTATTCTTACGAAAGGCCTTAATCCATTCGATATTAAGATCAGTAAGATCATTATTTATAATGATAATACATTTCACTTCTTGAATTAGTTTATATAGTTTCTCTATTGATTGTCCCGCTAAATGACTTTGTGCCTGAGCAATTATAGATACTATTTTATCAAGCCATAAATCATATTGGCTTGGAGAACATTTACACTTTTTATCACATTTGCAATTATTGATAATGTGATGTAGACTCTCTATCTGACACACTACTCTCTTATGATCAGGTAGATTTATATTAACATCAATATCACAATGATTTAAGATTAAGTCATGTAGTAATAGTATTCGAGTAAGAGTGATACGTAGATAATACAAGCAAATTTATATCATCAGGAATAGCCAGATTTTCAAGAACATATGTTTTTCCTGTTTCTCAAGGTGATCTAACATAGATATCACCTTTATTAGATAATGGTTTTATATACCTCTTCTCATATATTTCTGTTGTTATAAGGGGTTTATTATACTTAACCCAAGATAGGAATTTTACAAAGGCTTTAGGAAAATTGAGGTTTTTACCTTGTGAGATAATTGTGAAGAATTTTTATTTTCTTTCTGAATTTTTTCTGCAATAGATGAGTTGCATTCAAAAACTTCCTCAGGTTCATCACTTCCTTGCTGAAAGCATTTTACAATGAATGTTCTACTACTGGCATATACATAACCGAATCACCACTAATCCTTGTCATGTATATGTTTACATAGTGGGCATTCTAGTGGACCTTTCCGGTTAAAATATACAAAGTTTTCCTTTGTCTCTTCCTTTTCTTCGATAGTTCAATCCCTAAGATAGTTAGAATGCTTTTTGCAAAATAAGTTTTGCATATTTTTGCAATACATTCTGACCTACAATTATTTTTAATGGATTATTATTTTTTTCTTCACTAAGCATCTGAGGTCTTACTTCAAGTCCCAAACTAGAAGGCAGTTGAACCTTAACGTGATTGAGTTCATTTTAGTCATTATCTAAAGAGAATTGAAGAATGCGCTTTACGCAACCTTTTTTTGCCGAACCAATAAGACGAAGGTTAAAATTTTGACCAGGTAATTTTCAATTGATAAACTTGCTGAATTTTTCCCAGTTATAGTATATACTAATTCAGTAAATGCTTTGAGTTCGTGATGATCAATAAGAAAAGCCGATATATATAAAATATGGTAGCTATACTTGCTAATGTCTGATGATGTAGTGATTATTAATCCATTGAAAATGTTCTCCCAACTATAATCAAGAATTCAATACAAGACTCTTATAAAAGATAGGTAGATTTGAAAGAATACTTTTTGCGTCTTAACATCAGCTATTTTCATATCTTCTTGTGAAGCATCTATGTCAATCATAGCTTTTAAAGATTTTTGGCCGTTAATACATTCATGAATCCCTGGTAGGCCATATACTTCTGAAATATCATCTGCAACAGAAAATTTGGGAGCATGATCACCATCTTAATCGATTTTAATAATTAATTTATTCTCTACCTCACTTCGGTCATAAGCGTTATATAAGCTAGAGCCTTTTTCATTCAAAAAGAGGAATGAATAAATTGGAAGACATTCCAATAATCCTTTATCATTCGACATATCTCTAGATGGTGATAAGGCAATTTTTCAGACTTCACTTATCAAATTCTTAGGATAAAAATTATCATTAAACTTTTCCTGCCTTAAAGTATATGTCACATTAATAGGTGAGTCTTATCTTTCTTGTACAAATGGAGTCTTGATAATGCTGGTTGAGACACAGGTAGCTTCTTCATTATCTGACTCATAATTAGACTCGCAATTATTATAATTATCTGACCCTAAGTTGGATCCATTATCAGTACAACTGCTAGAGTCATTTAAGTATTCATCAGACTTAGTGCCATCATAGCGGGCGAGCATTAGGCCAGATTCAGTGTAATTAGTTTGATCAAAAATAGTTGAGGTATACATAGCGTCAGTAGGTAAAACTTTATATACTCCAATACATTTCTGAAATGTTTAATTAATTTTTTTCGATAGATACTCTTCTTTGATACTATGCATCTACAGGAAATGAGCACACACACATTTTTTCTTATATATTTAACTTTTAATCAAATTCTGCAGGAGAAAAGCTTACCCTGATTCTAATGAAAATTGTTAGACTATTTTCTGCAGAAGCTATAGCAAACTTAGTCGATAAAATATAAAAGAAAGGCAACTGTATATATATTTAAAAGTGTAGCCTTCTGCAGAATTATATTATATAAAATGTGAGAAGGTTACACTTTTCTAGATGTACTCAGGTATAGTATAACCTTTACGTAATATAGAGATATACCAAAAAAGGAATGCAAAAGAGATGTATAGTAGATTGATAAAAAAATCGTAAATAAACACATTCTTAATATGTATCTAAAAATGTAGCCTTCTGCAGAATTATATTATATAAAAATGGCAGAAGGCTTCATCTGAACTTAATAAGCAAATCGTAAAAGAAAGGCATTCAGTGGTATCTGAAAAATTTCTCTAGGGACAGGGGGCCAGCTCACAAAAATTTGGAATATATACCCGATGCAATAGAATATTAGCCTTAGGGCTCAGTATCACATGACATCCAACGGAAGTCCACGCGGTATTACATGATCACACAGTTATATTTGGGCGATCTAATTGGCTAAAACATAATATAGAGTATATATTTTTTTGCCTGAACTTTGAAGGATAATATCTCGACATCTACTGATCAGATTTATGCAAAAAAAAACTCTTTCTTGCTTCAACATGACCACCACTAGACAAACAAAAAATTCAAACAAAAATACACAAAACAAAAATACTTTTACTGAACTTTTTACTTTAAACGCTCAAAATACTTCACTTCAAACACCTGCTACTTCTCAAACGAAAAACCCAAACAACTTTGATACTGAAACTTCAAATAAACAGAATAAATTTTCTTCTCCTTCCCCAAATAATTTAGAAAACATTATTGAAAATATCATTCTTATCCTATCTAACAATCAAACTCTTGACTCATATATGCCAATTATCACTTCTAAAATATCGAACGAAAATAAAGAAGACTCCGTTATGGAAATAGACAACCCCAACCTCTTGTTTTAATTGACCAACGTACAAACGACTCTATGCACGCTTCTCCTTCAAACTCCACTTCTCCTCCTTTATCAAACAATATGGACATACAAACTCCTGATATCAAAGAAAAAAAAGTAACTTGAGACAAAAAACTTTGAACCATACGAACAATACATCGCCGATAAAAATGATGACATCAACAACGAATCTTTTACCATCATCACATCACTAACGCGTTTTTACGTGTCAACAGATACAAAGGATGTCAATGGTTTCTCAATTGCAGAAAAACATTACACAATCAACAAACTTTTCAGCCACTTTGAAGGATACAGGAAGCTGTACTACAATACTAGATAAAGGAAATTCTATATTTACTTTCATACATTAGACTCCTTTATACAAGCAACTGATAAAGTAAAAGAAACTCAACACAACCCTATTTTTTTGGTAATTGATCCCAATGCTAAACAACAAC